AATAGTTTGCCAGTTCAGACAAATGTTTAGTTTCCATCTTTTCACCTTTAGCTTGGATTAATTTGAAAGGTTTACTCTCTTTGTTGAAACAAGCATGCAGCTGGAGCTAGCGACGCAGACCAGCTGTTCTAGCTCAGAGTTATTCAATCAGGTTCGCTTCAGCGTTCACCGCGGTGCTCAGCGACATTAAGGAGGTGCAGAACCCAGAGCAGCTCTGACATGTTGGTAGGATCCAGGAAGCCACGCCCCCTCTGAGCATCAGCAGCGCTGAATATAAACACAGGAAACGCTTGTTGTGTTTTTCAGACACTTATTCGCTGTGCTGATCGGCGTGGAGCTTTATCGGATGGAGCTCTTCCTGGTTCCTCCATCTTTGCTCTGCCAGGACCAGCAGCCGGCCCTCTGATTGGACGCTTAGCCTGGTGATTGACAGGCCATCGGCCAATCAGCTGAGAGGAAGATCCATCTGTCCTTGCAAACTGAAACTCACAGCATGGTTTAACTTTCTGCTTAGTTAAACCATGCTTAGACTGTAACTGAGAGCTAACCAGCAGGTTAACTAGTCCTCCTCTGTTTACCAAGTTCTCAGATAGCAGCAGGAAGCAGACCCAGAGCAGGGGGATCTGGGCCCGGCGGTCTGGACTCTGATCCAGGACCTACAGGAAGCAGCGAGGACTCACCTGGAAGACGTCGTTGGCACACTTACGGCACAGGTTGTGCTGACAGGGGAGGATGACCACGGGCTTGGTGAACATCTCCAGACAGATGGGACAGATGAGCTGCTTCTCCAGACTCTCCATGACGGCAGAGCAGGACGGCAGAGCAGGACGGCAGAGCAGGACGGCAGAGCAGGACGGCAGAGCAGGACGGCAGAGGAGGACGGCAGAGCAGGACGGCAGAGCAGGACGGCAGAGCAGGACGGCAGAGCAGGACGGCAGAGCAGGACGGCAGAGCAGGACGGCAGAGGAGGGAGGCCTTCAGCGCCGCGCTAAACAAAGGAGCAGCAGCAGCAGCAGCAGCAGCAGGGGCTGTTTTTAGAAGCATGGACGTCAGCCGTCGCCGTGCCGACATGGCCTTATATGTCAGAGGTCAACAGGGGACAGATGAGAGGCGGCAGGATGGAAGCCAACAGCTCCCTCTGCTGGTCAGACTGAGGTCAGCAGAGAACAACCAGAGGGTCTTTATAGATCCAGAGCAGAATACTCCACTGCTTCCCACCTAGCTCTATTAGCTCTATGTCACCTAGCTCTATCCCACCTAGCTCTATGTCACCTAGCTCTATTAGCTCTATCACACCTAGCTCTATCCCACCTAGTTCTATCCCACCTAGTTCTATTAGTTCTATCCCACCTAGATCTATTACTTCTATCCCACCTAGTTCTATTAGTTCTATCCCACCTAGATCTATTACTTCTA